GGGGGGTTAATGACAAGAAGGGAGTTGGGGAAGGGCTAAAGAAATAACTGTAATTATCAACCTTTTGAACTGGATTGTGGTTACATAGGTATCTTCACTTTGTAGAAATCCATCAGTCTACAATTTGTGCACTCTTCTGAATATGTATTAATCTTCAATAAAATGTCTATAAAAATGACATCTGTTGATTCCCACTTACTACTAGCCAGCAAGCAATCTTGTCCTTCTTTTGAGCTCTCTTTTGTTTTATTCTCCCATTTTTGTTAGTTATGTAATTTCTACTTTATCAAAATATATTACATTTCATTCTATTTTGCCACCCTTATGCTCAGTTTTTAGTTCCAGCATAAATGAATATATTTAGTTAAATATATGACTTAAATTTGTTTAGTTTGCCACATTCAGTGCTCTCCACCAGACCTTTTATTAGTTTCCCTTTTATCAGCAAACGTATGTTGGCTGCTTATAACCTGCCTTGTTGTCCATTCTTAAAGACTAGCTCATAACAACATTTCCTGGGTTCTTCCATATCAAAACTATTTATAATTATGAGGCAGTTTATTGATGATGAAATAATTAGCTTATGTTTTCTTTCCCTGAAGGTCTTCCTGGTCTTCTGGAGGTGAATGTTGCTTTTGAGAAACATGATGCCAAACTTTTTGCTTTCCTTTTTTTTCTTAGATAATAAAAAAAATTATCTCTTTACTTTAAATCCAATTTTGCTGTGGTATATCTCAGTGTTGATTGTTCTGGGTCAATTTCCCTAGATATTTGATGTGCAGTTTCAATATGTAAATTCAAATATTATTTCATTTTATTTTATTTATTCATTGTTTATTATTATTACTTGTTATTTCAGTATTTATTAAAAATCATTTCAGCCCCTGACTGGGTACTTCAGTTGGTTAGAGCATTGTCTCGATATACCAAGGTTGTGGGTTCAATCTCCAGTCAGGACACATACAGGAAGCAACCAATGAATGCATAAGCGGAACAACAAATCGATACTGCTTTCTGTCTCTCTCTCTCCATTCTCTCCCCACATCCTTTCTCTCTCTCCACAATCAACAAATAAAAATTTTTAAATCATTTCAGTAAAGTTTAATTAACTATGGATTAAATATTTATTGTTTGACTGTTTTTAGTTTTCTTCTTTGGGGACTCCAGTTATGTAGTATGTTGGATCATCTGTCTTCTATGTTTGCCTCATTTCTCTTAAGACCTTTTATCTTAAATTTATTTTGTATTCTCCATTTCTCTCTCTCTCCCTCTCTTTCTATACTTTCTATGCCTCATACTTGTTTTTGTATGTCGTCTTTTCTTTTGTGTGTGCTTTATAACTTAATTTTACTTTCTGAAATTTCTGGGTTTTTTCCTGAGTTCTGTTCATTTTTACTTCGTAGCTTCCTTCAACTAGATATTTTTCTCTTGTTTTGTGAACATGACTGTTTAAATTTTTTGGTTTAAACTTACATATAGTTACCTGTGTATTTTATCTGATTTTAGCACTTGGTATTATTTTTCTAGTGTGGTTTGTAGTAGTGATTAAAATGCTTCATTTCTTTCACTAAAATTATTTTGTATGTAGGCAGAACGTTTTCCTTTTCTACTTACTCATATTTGAATGAGATTATTTTGTGAAAGTAGAGGCAGAAGTTTATGGAAATGGAACATGAGCCAGGGTTTCTTAGCTTCAAATAGTGTTATCTCCTCCGTGGATAGAGGGAAGACTCTGCCTCCCCAAACCTGGGCTGTTTCAAAAGAACTTGTGCCAGCCCTGGGCTTCTGAAGTCTCCACACTCCTTGCTTTCCAAAGATATGGATTCATGTGTAGAAGGCATATTTTACTGGCACTCCTTCAGATCTGCCATATGTGGCCCTCATGGGCATTTTCTAAACCTTTCTTTCATTCTTTCCAGAAATATTCAGCCTTAACTTATCTACCTAGGTAATGCTCCCATAACTTCCATCTAAAGGTGAGGTCGTCACCCTGGCTGGTGTGGCTCAGTGGCTTGAGCACTGGCCTGGGTACTGGAAGGTGTCTGGTGCAACTGGTGGTTAGGGCACATGTGTGGGTTGCAGGCCAGGTCTCTAGCTGGGGGCGAGCGAGAGGCAATCAATAGATATTTCTCTTGTGCATCAGTGTTTCTCTCCCTCCCTCCCTTAACCCTCTAAAAATAAATAAAATCTTTAAAAAATAAATAAAATTGGATGTCTTCTTCTCCTAAGCAGAAATATATAACGGAGACATCTGAAATTGGTCAATCCTGAGACACTCTCCACATTTCCTGTTTTTCTTTCTAACATTTTTGTGAAATTATAAACTAGATTCCAGTCCGTTTCAATTTAAGAAATACTTACATGCAGTTTCAATTTTATCGTTTTTATCTGTCTCATAATAGCACTGAAAATACAGTGTGTGCATGTATGTGTGTGTGTTGGTCTCCTTTTTGCTTTGGATCATTATCAGGTTCAGAATTGAGAAGATTCAGAACTGAACTTCGGGAATATTACTATCATCTTTCTTACCACACTGTGGGGAATACTTCCTTGGATGTTTCACATAAACTTTTAATAAGGTATGTTCAACATTGCACTGATTATCTTCAATCTGAGCTTTCTCTTCTCCTTAAATTTCTTAACTCAGTTAATGCACTATCATTAATTTAGCTCCCCAGACTGGAAATCTGGCCATAATCATAAATTTCTTCATATTTGGTTCCAGAAATATCAAAGTAATAACTTCCCCCTTTTATGTAAACTAAATTTTTCTAAAATATTATCTTGCCCTGGCTGGTGTAGCTCAGTGTATTGAGCTCCGGGCTGCAAACTAAAGTATTGCAGGTTCGACTCCCAGTCAGGGCACATGCCTGGGTTGCAGGCCATGACCCCCAGCAACCGCACATTGATCTTTCTCTCTCTCTCTCTCTCTGTGTCCCTCCCTTCCCTCTCTAAAAATAAATAAATAAATAAATAAATAAATAAATAAATAAATAAATAAAATATTATCTCTATCTCTAAAAACCACTACTAAATTTTAAAATGATACCCTAAGTACTTTTTCTTTTTTCCAAGTTTTCTCCCTCAGCATCATCTTCCATACTATTTTAAAAGTATTCTATCTAAAATGTGTATTTGATCACTTTTACTTTTTAAAAAAGATTTTTATTCATTTATTTTTGGAGAGAGGGGAAGGGAAGGAGAAAGAAAAGGAGGGAAACATCCATGTGTGGTTGCCTCCCACATAGCCCCCACCAGGGACCCAGCTTGCAATCCAGGCATGTACCCTGACTGGGAATTGAACCAGCAACCCTGGTCCACAGGCTGACATTCAATCCATTGATCCACACCAGCCAGGGCTGATCACTTTTACTTTTGAGGGGTATTGTGGTCATGACCTCCACACATACACACAATAACATCATTTGCATTAATGTGGCAAAGAAGCCGCCCATTATCGGGCCCTTCCCAAGCTCAAATCCCCTCATCCCATTCACCATCATACCACTCCAGTCAAAACAAAACTTGTTGTTCAGATATTTTATGCATTTTGCCTCTACTTGCACTGCTCACTTTTCCTGTTAAGAACTTGTCCCCAGTCTGCTCACATTATGAGAAATCATTTATCTTTACACCTTAGTTCAAGTGACACACTTTCTGCAAGCATTTCTAAATCATCCTAGGTAAAAATTGCCCTTCTCTTCACTTTGTCCTGGATCAGTCTGTATAGGCTTTAATCAAAGCATTTTTACATATTCACTCTATTTCTTTTTAAGTGTTTTTCTTCGCAATTAAACTCTAAGTAACTGAAGGTCAAGGTCCATATTTTATTGGTCCTTACAGGTTCAGTGCCAGACACATGTAAGTAAATGAAAAAGCCACTTCCTATATTGATATGCCCGAGTTTTGTCTCCCATCTAAATTGCAATTTTACTGAGGACAGAGGTCACATAAGCCCAATTCAGATTTTATTTCTGCATATATTTATTCAAGTTTTCTAGTATGCTTTCCTAAGAGACCAAAAAAAGCACTCCTGATGACTTAAAGTTTTATGTTAGCCCCTGGCAAAAAAATAATAATTTGAAAATAATGACCAATTATTCTGCTACTATAATAAAAATAAATATCAAGTTTATTTTATCAATACATATTCAGGAAAAACAAATCAATAACAAATGTTGCTTTAATTTAGAATAATAATAAACATGTAACAACATTCTAAAATTGTAAAAATTGCCCTGGCTGGTATGACTCAGTAGATTGAGCACTAGCCTGCAAACTAAAGGGTCACTGGTTCAACTCCCAGTCAGGGCATATTCCTCAGTTGCAGGCCAGGTCCCCAACAAGGGGCACATGAGAGGCAACCATGCATTGATGTTTCTGTTCCTCCCTTCCTCCCTCCCTTCCTCTCGCTAAAATAAATAAATAAAAGCTTTTAAAAAACCTTATAATAAATAAAATTCTAAAATTATGTTCCTTTCTTGATGATACTGAAGTTTTTTTGTTGTCAAATTGGTTAATATAGAAGTAAATATTCAATAAATACCTATAACCAATTAAACCTTATAATTAAATCTTTGTCATATTTAAGAATTTCTCTATATTTACAAAATTTCCAGGTTTGGTAAATTAAGTATTTAAACTTAATTTTAAGTTAAAGCTAAACTAAATGTGGTATCTGTAGAGTATGCAAATAAATTAGATAAAGAATTAGACATGTCCATAAATTTTGACAATGTAACAATATGCCTATATATAAATTTTCCATGTTATAAATTAAAGTTTACTGAACTAAATGTGATGGCTATAGGCTTTATGGAAATAAATTAGTCAATATAGAGAATAAATCATACACATGAATTTTGACAGTGTAACAATTTCCCCTCTAGCAGTTGCTACCTTGAGACAAGAGTAAATCATTTACTATAATATTATAAAATCTTCCTGAAATTGACTTTTTTATTTTAAAAGACAACTATCATAAATAATAATATACATACCGAAGGATGGTCAGCATGTTTGGTGTACCAGAAAAAGCAGCAAATACAAGTGTAGAAAACATAACAACAATGAACAAAGGTAATTTATAGCACTTTGTATCACAGGTCCCAGATCTGGCATCAATAAAATCACCTTCCTCATCTGCATTTGTTAATCCATCAGTAATGCAAGAACAATTGAAATATGTCTAAAAATTAAGATAAAATACTATCTTTTAGAAATATAGTTATAAAGCAAAAACATATTATTATAAAGTAAAAATTAAATCAATAACTATATTGAGACTAGCCAGTTTTAACAGTAAATGCCCTTATATTAAATCTGCTAGTCATCACTCAGAAATGAAATATTGATGTAAGTCCAAGCTATTTTAAAGACTCATGTGTTTGTGTGTGTATGTAATTATAGTTACTTAGAAAAAATTCTATTAATTTAAGAAATTCCACCAAAAATATTGACATCTAACTGCACAGATAATTTTCAGAGAGTTATGTAAATTGAGAGCAGTTAAGGATGATGTGATAAGTAAAATTGAACTTTAGCCCTGGCTGGTGTAGCTCAGTGGACTGAGCGTGGGCTATGAATCAAAGGGTCATGGGTTTGATTCCCAGTCAGGGCATATGCCTGGCTTTCAGGCCAGGTCCCCAGTGGGGGCCACATGAGAGGCAACCACACATGAATGTTTCTCTCCCTTTCTTCCCCTCTCTCTAAAAATAACAATAAATACAATCTTTTAAAAATTTAACTAGGATTTGAAATATCGACAGTCACCCAACTGTGGAGGTATGGGGACTATTACTGCAAAGCTAAGATGTTATTTTGTATGTCATGATGGCAGGGCTATTATCTATTAGGCAGAGTAGGCATTGTCAATAGCCCCAAACATATTAGACCACATAAATTGTAATTTTAGTGTCTTTGAAATTTAAAAAAATGAATATAATAATAATGAATCTGGCCTGAATGATATTTGTCTTTATACTAATGCAGTTGTACATAAATGCTTAAATTTATTATTGTTGCTGTTACTATTATTATTATCATTATTATTATTTTGTTTACAAAAGCAAAGTTTCTAGGGCCAAAGTCACAAGATAGACTTAACTGGGAGCAAATGAAAACTGGGGGTGGTTGTCGTAGGGTTGATAATTCAAGAAAGATGAATAGGTGATACTGTCTCAGAAGAACTAAACAGAGTTTGAAGATACAGAGACAAATTAGCAATTTATTAATTTATTGAAAAGGGTTTAAGTTAAGAAATATCATAAACTCAACAGAAATATGGCACTAGGTTACTAGTGAAGGTATAAGAGGAAACGAAGATGGCTTGAATCTGAATGATTCATGTAGGTCCAAAAATCATGTTTGTGAACTTATCATAATTAATGACTACCCCATGATTCACTGATAAACTGAGCAGAGATATGAAGAAGGGAAGAGAAGGAGCCGTTTGTTATCTTTTAAAAAATGCATTCTAGGCAGAGAAACAAAAACACAGAAATTTAAAGGTCTTGGGTCTAGAGCTTGCTTGATAAGTTCAAAGAAAAGCAAGGAGAAAAATGTGGCTGGAGCAGAGGAACATAAAGTAAACTACAAGAAAATATAATGGAGTAGTGGGGGGAAGATCAGATTATACAGAGACTGGTAAATAATTACAAGGCTAATTTAAAAACTTTGGATTTTAATCTTAGTAATGTATAACCATTGGAGGGATATATGTATAAATGACATTCTAAAAGATCACTTGGCTGCTATATTAAGACTCTTGGCCTATGAAGGTAAAGGTGAAAGCTGAGAAAACAGTTAAAAAGATATTGAAACAAGGTACAAAGTGATGCTGATTGGGACCACAGTAAGTAACAGAGGCAATGATGAAGGTAGCTAGATCCAGCATTTATTCTGAAAGTAGATTTAAAAGGATTGTCTGAAAACTTTTAGGGTAGAAATGGTTTTCAGAAGGAAAAAGTCACGTGGAGGCTTCCTTGAAGGAAACTGAGACCTTCAGTCTGGGGAGGTAGTCAGTCCATGGGTCAGAGAGGGCACCTAAAAAATGACGCTGACTTCACTGCTGTTCCTCATCTTTCTGATTTTCTATTAGAACTCTGTATTAGTTTAGTGTAGTTGTAAGCCAGAAGGCAAAGAAGCTCTCATCATATAAATCAGTCTCCTGGAACAATGAGGACTGGGAAGAAGTATGAAAAGTGGATCTGGAGGTCAGACAAAAGATATGTAGCACAGCCAGTGTTTGCAGGTTATAGAACCTAGGCTGCCTCAGGGCAAAAGTGAAAATATGAAGAATGTGGGTGAACAGATTGTAGAATCACAAGATCTCAGGTTCTGAAAGGGTCAAAGAAAAAATGAGGGAATTACATTCAAAGAGATATAATCAAAATGCCAAAAGTCATATCAAAATAATATAGTAAAATATACTTATTTCCATTAATAAAAAGGAAGATAGATCTAAACACACCATATCAATAATTATAATAAATGCGAGTACTCTAAAAACTCAGATTAAAAAACAGGTTAACAAAACTGAAGACAGAGAAAAACCATATTATATGCTGGCTACAAAGTCACTTTAAACATAAAAACACAAATATTTAAAAAATAAAATATCAAAGGACAGATACAGATAACATATGTTCAATTTTAACTTGTTTGGATTGCTGCCATAATGTAAACATCATCTACAACTTCAAAATCTTACTGGAGAGGAAGAAGTATAATTTAAAATAATTACCTTCTGATCATTTACTGTTTTAGAATATGTACAACCAGCAAAGCAAGGAGAAAAGTATCCAATATTATCTCTTCCACACACAGGTGAATAAAATGTTGAGCATTTACAGCCAGAATTGCAAGGAGCTGTCAGGTCTCCCAACTTCCCTGTCCTATATTTAAAAAAAGACATTGAATGTAATTATAATGCCATTGTAGTATACTTATTAATGTACAAATAAGATATCAATGAGGTTCACAAAACATTAAAATAATTTAACAGCTTTATTAAGGTATAATGAGTATACAATAGACTATATATGTTTAAAGTTTATAATTTGAAATTTTGATACATGCATACACTTGTGAAATTATCATCAATCATGTTAACAAGCATAATCATCACCCCAGAAAACCTCCTCATGCTCCTTTGTAATTCCTCCACACCCTGACATCTGATGATCTACTTTCTGTCACCATTCATTAGTTTGGATTTCATAGCTTTTAGTGAAATGGAATAATACATAATGCACCCTTTCTTTATCTGGCTACTTTCATGCAGCTGATCTTCACGTGGTCTTTGTGTGGTCATGTCTTCCATACTCTTGAGTAAAGATTAAGGAGAAGAACATTTGGGTAGTCTGGTAGGTATTCATGTAACCTTTTAAGAAACTGTCAGTTTTCCATAAGGGTTGTGTTATTACACACTTCACCAGTAGTGTGTGAGAGTTTCAGTTGTTTCCTGAATTCCTCATCAACAGCTGGTATGGTCAGCCTTTTTAATTTTAGACATTCCAACAGGGATATAGTAACTTCATATTGTGATTTTTAATATGAATTTCCCTAATGACTAAAGATGTTGAGCATCTTTTTCATACTTATCATTATTTCTTTTTCTTTATATGAATGCTAATATTTTTATTGTAAATTCCCAGTTGTTTGTAAGTAGTAGCTAGAATTACTATAGGTTCCTATATATTGATCTTTTCTTTGACAATATTAATTTTTTTCCTGATACTGTTCTTAACAGTACTATTTAATATTAATTTCTGCCAATTTATTGATAGATAGAAACACGATAGATTCTTTTATGTTGATCTTATATTCTGCAAACTTGCTAAACTCAGTTTATTAGTTATAATAGTGTTTTGATTTTCTGTGTAGATAACTGTGTTGTGTTCAAATAAATGCAGGTATCCTTCCACTTTTTCTACCTGGATGCCTTTTATTTATTTTTCTTACAGTAATGGCTACCGCCTCCAGTACAATGTTAATATAGGTCATCAAAGCAAACATCTTTATTGCATTCCTGGTCATTCAGTGGCTCATCTTTTTTTAGTCTGCTCAGCTTGCTATAACAAAATATAATCAACTGGGTGGCTTAAACAACAGGCATTATTTCTCACAGTTCTGGAAGCTAAGTCCAAGCTCAAGGCACAGACAGCTTCAGTTTCTGGTGTGGGTTTTCTTCCTGGATTGAAGACCACCAACTTCTCCGTATACCCTCACAGGACTAATAGATGGAAGGCTTTGGGTTCTTCCTCCCCTTCTAAGGTCACTAATTCCATCATCATGGGGTCCAACTTCATCACCTCATCTAAACCTAATTATCTCCTATAGGTGCCACCTCTTAATACTATTGATTGGGGGTTGGGGCTCCAACGTACAAATTTTCTGAGAGGAGGCCAAACAAACATTCAGTACATAATATTCACTAAGTGTGATGTCAGTGTTGTATTTTCATAGATTCTCTTCCATTCCTAGTTTCCTAGATTACCAAGAATAAATATTGCACTTAAAAAGTGCTTTTTTGTCATTGATTGTGATTATATATACATTTTCATTTTTATTTTATGGATATGGTAGATTATATTGATTTTCAAATATTAAACTAGCCTTGCATCTCTGTGATAAATCTTGCTTGATCATAATTTATTTTCCTTTTACTATATTATTGGGTTTAATTTATTAAGATTTTATTAAGAATTTTGTTTTGAATTAAGGATTATGAATGATATAGGTCTCTATTTTTTTTTCTTACAATGTCTTTGTCTAGTTTTATATCATGATAAAAAAGTTTCATAGAATGAGTTAGAAACTATCCAGGCTGACAGCGACCAGAGAGGAGAGTGGAGGAAATTTCAGGAGAATTTCATGGGAAAAGGGGAAGGGTCTACAGGAGCAAGTATAAAGGACACATAGACAAAAAGTAGGGGGGTGGAAATGTGTGGGAGGTTGGGAGGACTGGGGGTGGGCTGGGATGGGAGTAAAGACAGAAAACTGTACTTGAACAACAATTAAAGTACAATTTAAAAAAATTATCCATTTCTTTTCCATTTTCTTGAAGAATTTTTGTAAAATCAGATATTTTAAAAATGTTTTGTAGCATTCCCCAGGGAAGCCATTTAGGCCTGTACTTGTTTTTGTTTTGGTCTGTCACAAAGTTTTTAGCTACAAATTTATTTCCTAAATATATAAATTATCTATTACTTTTTGAGTGAGTTTGTAGCTTTTAAAAGATTTATCCATTTCATGAAATTTTTCAGATTTATAGACATAAACTTGTTCATGCTATTATCTTATACTTGTAATAGTGGTAGAGCCCTGGCTAGTGTGGCTCAGTGGATTGAGTGCCAGCCTGTGAACCAGAGGGTCACTGGTTCAATTCCCAGTCTAAGAGCACATGCCTGGGTTGCAGGCCAGGTCCCCAGTAGGGGGCACCTGAGACACAACCACACATGGCTGTTTCTCTCCCTCTCTTCCTCCTTTCCCCTCTCTCTAGTAATAAATAAATAAAATCTAAAAAAATATACTGGTAGAATCTACACTAACATCACATCAGATTTCTAACTCTGATAGCAATTTTCTCCTCTAGAAGTTTAGCAATTTTATCAATCTTCTCAAAATATCACCTGTGCTTTTTTTGATTTTTCCATTGTTTTTCTTATCTCAACTTCATTGATTCCTGTTCCAATCTCAATTTCATTTGTTCTACTTCCTGTGGGGTCAATCTGCTTTAGTGTTTCCAGTTTCTTCAGGTAGAAGCAAATATCACTGGTTTAACACTATTTTTCTTTTGTTAATACAGGCTTTTAATGCTATACATTATCCCATAAACACTACTTGAGCAGAACTCCACAAATTTTATTATGTGTTTTCATTTTTACTCATTTCAAAAGACTGCCCAATTCCCTTTTTTAAAAATTCTTTGATCCACAGGTTACTTAGAAGTCAGTTATTCATTTTCCAAATATTTCCATTTTTCCAGAAATCTTTTTTATTGATTTATTTCTAATTTAATTCCCCATGGTTAGAAATTTAATTCTGTTGTATGATTTGATCCTTTTGATTTATTGAGACTTGTTTTGCAGAATGCAATCTACTTTGCTAAGTGTTTCATCACTTGAAAAGAATGTATATTTTGCTCTGTTAGATGAAAAAGTTAGATTAAAAGTCTACAAATATCAATTTCATCCAGTTGGCAGTGTTATTCAAATCTTTTGTATCATCACTGGTTAATTTTGGACTACTTGCATTAATTATTAAGAAAAATCAAGTTGGAGGTTCTCTGCCTTATTGGGATATTACACCCATTTATATTTACTGTGATTAACAGTATGACTAGGTTTGAATCTATCCTGTTTTTATTCATTTTATCTCTTCTTTGTTCTTTTTTCCTATTTTCTGCTTAATTTCAGATTAAACAGATATTTTTGTGAAATGCTATGTTAACTCTCATGAGGGCTTATCAACTCCAATTCATTTTTATTTTAGTGATTGCTTTAAAATTTGCTCTATACATCTTTAACTTCGTGTACCAACACATTCTAGCATTCATGTTAACTCATATTACATGTTAAATACCCTTTAAAAATTACATAAAGTGATTTAAATAAGAAAAAATATTTACTATACAGTAATCACTTCTTTTGTTTTTCTTTGCTTTGTGTAGTTCATATTTTCACCTAGTATTATTTTATTTCAAGCAGAAAGACTTCCTTTAGCACTTCAATATCATGTATATCATGTACATTTTTATGTCTAAAATTATTTCTCTATTTTTGTAGATATTCTAGCTCAATATAAAGTTATAGGTTGGCTTCTTTTCAGTACTTTAAAAGTATATATTGTTTCTGATGTAAAAATCTATGTTAGCCTTATATTTGGACCTTTGTATACAAAGTATTTTGTTCACCTCTTGCTGCTTTTAAGATTTTTCTCTTTACACTTATTTTGAGCAACTTGATTATTATGAACCATGGTGTAATATTCTTCTTGTTTCTTATAATGAAGTTTTGCTGAGTTTTTTTTTTTAAATCCATAGATGTATAGCTTATATGAAAATTTTAAATTCTGGACATAACTTCTTTAGATATTTTGTTTCCCCAAATCCCCTTTCTTGGGAGCTCCAACGAAATATATAGTTGTCCACCTGAAGACATCCAACTTGCTGATGCTCTGTTCATTTTTACTAATTCTCTTTTGTCTTTGTGTTCCTTCTTGGGAGGTTTTTATTTCTATTGATTTCATGATTTTATTTCTATTGATTTCACTAATCTTCTGCAATGTATAATTTTGGAGTATTCAGGGTATTTTTCTCACACATCCTAATTTTCATTTCTGTATGTACAATTTTGGTTTTAAAAAATATTTCTACTTAATTTGTTAATGTGAGATTTTCCCATTATCTTTTTGTTATTGACTATAGTTTGATTTCACTGGGGTAGAAAGCATATTGTATAGTTTCAGTTTTTCTGTTAAACTTTCAAGGTTTGTTTTGTGTTCTTAAATATGGTCTATATGTTTTGCTGAATTTTCCATTTGTACTCAGAAAGAATACCTTTTCTGCTGTTATTGACTGGAGAGTTCCATAGACACAAATTAGTTTGAGTTGGTTGAGTTGGTTGACTGTGTTATTTAGTATTTCTTTATTCTCTCTTGAGACGGTAGTGATCAAGCTTCAAGCATATTTCTGGATCTGTCTTCTACTCCTTCCAAGTTGTGCTAGCCTTTCTTTCTTATATTTTGAGGCTCTGTTGTTAGCTGTGTACCTAAGTAGAGGTGTTTGTTCTTATTGGTAAATTGACCAATTGACATTTTGCAATGTCTCTTCATCCCTGAGATTTTCTTGATTCTGAAGTCTGATATCAATATACTCCTTCTAGCATTCTTT